ATTTGAAACAAACAAACCACTTGGAATCTCGCGCCGTCAATCTATTAGCATCCACTTGTCACTTTGTAAATCTAAAGCTCTAACTCTAGAGGGGGTTTAAAACATTAAAAATATAATAGTAAAAGTGAGCAGAACAGAGAAAACCCTGAGAAAACCCAGTAAAAACCCTGAGAAAACCCAGAAAAAACCCTAAGAAAACCCTGAGAAAACCTTGAGAAAACCCTAAGAAAAACCCTAGAAAAAGCCTGAGAAAACCCTGAGAAAAATCCTGAGGAAAACCTTGAGAAAAACCCTAAGAAAACACTGAGAAAACCATGAGAAAACCGTGAAAACCCCGAGAAAACCCCAAAGAAACTCTGAGAAAACCCTGAAAAACCCTGAGAAAACCCTGAAAACCCTGAGAAATTCCTGAGAAAACCCCAAGAAAACCCAGAGAAAACCCCGAGAAAACCACACGAAAACCCTGAGAAAACCTTGAGAAAACCCTTAGAGAAACCTGAGAAAAACCCTGAGAAAACCCTGAGAACACCCTGAGAAAACCCTGAGAACACCTCGAGAAAACCCCGAAGAAACCCCGAGAAAACCCTGAACCCTGAGAAACCCTGAGAAAACCCCGACAAAACCTTGAAAAAACCCCGAGAAACCCCCGAGAAAACTAAGAGAAAACCCTGCGAAAAACTTGAGAAAAACCCAGGTGTCCCCGGGGTGTCCTGGGGATGCGCCGGGGGAGCCCCGGGGGTGTCCTGCGGGTGTCCCGTGGGTGTCTTGGGGGTGTCCCGGGCGTGTCCTGGGGGTGCCCTGAGGGTGCCCAGGGGGTGTCCTGAGAGTGCACCGGGGTGTCCCGGGGGTCTCCTAGGGGAGCCCTTGGCGCGCCCCGGGCATGTCCCAGGGGTGTCGGTGCCCCTGGGGTGCCCAAGGTGCATCCCGGGTGCGTCCCGGGAGTGCCTAGGGGTGCCCCGGGGGTGTCCAGGGGGCCTCCAGGGTGTCTCGCGCGGGTCTCCCAGGGATCTCCCAGGGGTCAGCCGGGGGTCTTCCGGGGGTGTCCCGAGGGTGCCCCGGCGGTGTCCCGAGGGTCTCCCGGGGGTGCTCCGGCGGTGTCCCGGTGGTGCCCCGGGGGTGTCCTGGGTATGCCCAAGGGTGCCCCAGGGATGCCTAGGGGGTGCCCTAGGGATGCCTAGGGGGTGCCCCAGGGGTGTCCCCGGGGAGCCCCGGGGGTGTCCTGGGTTGTCCCGGGGGAACCCTGGGCGAGCCCCATGGGAGCCCCCGGCGTGCCCCGGGGGTGTCCCGCGGGTGTGTCGGGAGTGCCCTGGGGGTGTCCCGGGGTTTTCCCGGGGGGTGTCCCGGGGGTCTGCCCACCAGGGGTCTCCCGGGTGTGTGCCGGGGGTGTTCCGGGAGTGTCCCGGGGCTGCCCCGGGGGTGCCCCAGGGTTGCCTCGGGTTACCCCGGTGGTGCCCCAAGGGTGTCCTAGGGGTGTCCTATGGACGTCCCGGGGGTGACTCGGGGGTGTTCCGGGGGTGCTCTGGGGACGTCCCGGGGGTGTCTCGGGTGTGTTTCTGGGGTGTCCTGGCGGTGCCCCGGTGGTTCTCCGGGAGTGTCCCGGGGGTGTCCTGAGGGTGTCCCGGGGGTGTCGGTGCCCCGGGGGTGCCAAAGGGGTGCCCCAGGGGCATCCCTGGGGCGTCCAGGGGGTGTCTAGGAGGTGCCCCGGGGGCATCCCGGGGGCGCCCCAGGGGTGCCCTGGGTGTGTCCCGGGGGTGTCGGTGCCCTGGGGGTGCCCAAAGGGCGTCCAGGCGGCGTCCCGGCGGCGAACTCGGGGCATCCTGGCTGCGTTTCGGGGGCGTCCCGGTGGCATCCCGGGGCGCCCCGTGGGTCCTCCAGAGGTTCCCCGGGGGTGTCCTGGGGCTCTCCCGGGGTTTACCAGGGGTCTCCCGGGGGTGTCCCGGGGGCACCCCGGGGGTTTCCTGGGGTTGCCCCGGGGGTGTCCCGGGGGCGTCCCGGGGTGTCCTGTGGGTGTCCCGGGGGTGGCCCAGCGGAGCCCCCAGGGTTCCCCGGGGGTGTCCCAGGGGTGTCCTGGGGATGCCCGGGGCATGTCCCGGGGGTGTCCCAGCAGTGCCCCGGGGGTTTCCCTAATGTGACAGAAGGGCATGCGCAACATTTAAGAGATCCATTGAGTCTACCGAGTGGCGAGGTGACACGGCTTAAAGTCAAACACTTCATGGAAGCATTGAATGTGCTGGTTCAAGAAGTTGGAGACATGGGAAACACTTGGAGGCCCAACACAAGTTCAATCCTGAATGAAGAGAATCTTGTCACCATGATTAAGGTTCTAGAAGATTCAAGTTGAAGTGCTAAGAGCTTAGCAAGGGAATCCAATTCAAATTGGCCAAATTGGGCCTAGGGAAAGACTTTGTGGCCGAATTGGCCTTAGAATTGCATAGGGTCCGAATTGGACTTGGAATTAGATTAGGGTGGCCGAGTTTGGGCTTAGTTTAGATAATTAGATGTTTTAGTTTTCTTTAGGATTAAAATCGCAACCTATATAAATAGGGTTGCTAAAACTCATTTTTGGAATTAATGAATTATTATTGATATTGAGGTTTCTCATATCCGTGCTTCTTGGTTCTTGAGAAGACTTTGAACTTATCAAGTATTGTTCTTGTGGCGTTCAAACAATTGGACTTATCATTGAGATTAACATGTGAATTCTTGATAATCTTTGTGCGGCGTTCTTCAATCTTCGTAGTTCTTGATTCGCGTCTTGATAGACAACGGGTTAAGGCTTAACAATCTTGCGTCTTGAAGATCTTGGGGTTGTGATCTACGTGTGGTGTTGGGTCTCTAAGTGTGTGCCATGTCTCCAACTTGTTGAACCAGCCCATTCAATGCTTCCTTGAAGCGTTTGACTCTAAGCCGTGTCACCGCGCCACTCGGTAGACTCAATGGATCTCTTGAATGTTGCGCTTGCCCTTGTGTCACATCAGTCCCGAGGGTGTCCCAAGGGTGATCCGGGGGTGTCCCGGGGATGCCCCGGGGGTGTCCTTCCTTAGGATTATCTTTAGGCGTGTTTTATCTTAGGCGTTTTTAAGGAAGGAGTTAGAGTCAAATTCAGATTCCTTCCTTAGGATTATATTTAGGCGTGTTTTATCTTATCTTTAGGTGATTATCTTGCTTTAGGCGTCTACCTCATTAAGGGTATATTAGGATTTTTACAATTTTTAAACTCTTCATGTTATTTTTGGCTATTTAAGGCTGAAATTCGATTAATAAAATAGTTTTGATGTTTTATTCACATTGTAAGATATTCTTCTTGAGTTCTTGAAGAAACTATTCCGAACTTATCAAGGTTTCCTTGAGGCGTTCAACTTGACTTATCAAACGGATTTTTCATACTCTTTTGTGGGATCTTTACCATACCAAGGTTCTTGTTTTGCTAAACAACAGGTCGCGGTTTTCATCAATTCTTGAAGATCTTTAATCGCAATCTCATATTTGGTTACGGGTTTCGTCACGTTGTTGGCAGGGTTCGTATCAGTCCCGGGGGTGTCACGGGGGTGCCCCGGGGGTGTCCCGGGGGTGTCCGGGGGTGGGTGTCCCGCGGGTGTCCCCAGGGTGCCCCGAGGGTGTCCCGGGGGTGCCCCGGGGGTGTCCCAGGGGTGTCATGCTAACTAAATTTGACAAATATTTGATGAAATGGCACTGAAAGCTTGATTACATTGACTTCCTCTCTCTCATAAACTTTTCCCGACAAAATTTGAATACTAATATGAATATCATGCAAAGTTTGTATGCAGATAAATGTCTTTTCAACATAGTTTAACATGGTACGAGTTTTAAAAAAGGTTTATGTCACCTTTTGGGCAACATAAAATCATTTAATACACCCGCCCCAGATATTATAGTTCCAACTATTATACTAACAGAATGATGGATTTCATAAATGTTAGTCGAATTATTGATTTTGAGTAAATTAAAAATGAGAATAAGTTTTCATAAAATTAATGGTTCGATGGAATTTTATAAAATGGCATTAGCTGAAGAAGTGTTTTAAACGGTTTTGTATAGTTTAGGATTTGAAATTAACTCATTTTAAGTTTTGAGGAGCATATTAAATTAGGTAAACAAATATCTAAGAAAATTGTTCAATTTACTTTTAGAGTGTATGAATCTAAATTTCAGCCTCTTACTCTTAATTAATAGCCTTTGACTAATATAGTATCAAAAAAAAGATAATAATAAAAAACAAAGAATAAAAATATAAATTCATAAATTCATGTCCTTTCTTATAAAGTTAACCTTTTTTTATGATGCAATGGCATTACTCGACACAAGGACAAATCTATGTGGTTCCAGGCCTTGAAGAAAGCCCGACCCACCTGGCTCTTTACACATAATATATATATATATATATATTGATCTTATTTAGTGCATGAATCTCGTTTACTTAGAGGATGTTTGGTAGAGGGATTCGTTCTCTAATTCGAATCATGATTCGTGATTCGCTATAGTATTTTCTCTCAAAAAAATACACGTAAATCAAAAATGGTTCGAATCATATGGTTTGAATCCTCCAACTAAACGTTCCTTTAAGCTAATATAATTCATTGATTAAAATATGTTAATAAAAAATAAGGTAAAAATTCAAAATCTATATAATTTAAAAATATTTATCTCATTTTCTCTAACAATATTTAAATAGTAAAAAGGAGAATAAAGTAAATAGCAATGTAACTGTAAATAGCAATGTAACTGTAAACAAATTGAAGTAAATAATATATTTAAGAACTATAATAAATAATAGTAAATTAAAAAGTTAAGCGGAAAAGAAATCTTTTTACAAGCCATAAATAAAAATTCAAGTGATAAAAAGTCCTTTTTACTGCTGCTATTCACTTTAAATACTTTAAACTGAGGTATTTACTATTTTTTGTTTCATAAAAATATTATTTATTACAATTTCGGATAGTAAAATTGAATATAGCAAAATTTTCCAATAGTGTGGTCCTGTAAATTAATGATCTTTTTTCTGATCCATCGGCAAAATTAGACTGCACAGCAATCAAATCTATCGAGGCACAAAATAAACAAAATTAAAGTTAGACTCCAAAACTGGATCGCCCAAATTTTTTGTTTTACTACAAAGAGGACAAGAGGCACATGTTACAAGCTTGAAACAAATTTTACGGTGTAAAACTCAAATATTTGGTGCGCAATTGGTTCATTTTGCTGCCACCTCCCCGTTATCAGAGTCCCCCCCTTCTTCATCTGAAGACTCTTCTTTCTTAATATGTTCTCCATCTGCATTTCCCGTGCTCTTCTTCTCCCTTTTCCTCTGCTTTTTCTTTTGACGTTTCAAGCGCTTTTTGGCAGTTCTCTCCTCAGCGGCTTTCAACCTTTCTTCCCTTCCCATAGTGAATTCAGCAACTTCTTTCCTTCGCTGAAAGTCGACATCCATCCGAGCAAGTCTATCCTGCTCTTTTCGTCTCATTTGTCGATACTGTTGCAAGTAGAGATTAAGGAAAACACATGCGTAAGAAGCTAATATTAAAAGAAGAATAGGTGTAGAGACTAATTAAGCTTTCTTATGAATGTAAGGAAATAATATCAGCATACTAATGTAATGATCGGGAAAATTTTGATCCGGACAGTCCGGCATTTGACCGTATTTCTTTCCGGAATTGTAAGTAGTGAAATTTTAACTTGATCGAAAGAATATCGTGTAAAAACTTTATGTACGGGACAAAATTTTTCGAAATGTGTAAAGTTATAATACGAATATGTCTTCAGAGGAAATTCGTAAATATCAGTTATGCATAGTGCAATATCAGTTAAAAATTAAAAATTTTAACAAGTATATTTTAATTCTGAAAAATTGAAAAAGTTGGTATGCGACCAAATGACAAGTTAAAAAAAGAGCAGAAATGTCAGAATTAAAGAAAATACCAATAGTTCCTCAAATAAGATTTTCTCGAGTCAGTTAGAACGAGAAATAACTCAAAAATCAGTACCGCAAGGGTAAGCGTTTTGAGCAATTCTGGATCGATTGAAATGAAAATTTCAGAAAAAGAAATTTACTAATGAGATCCCCAAAGGAATTGGGTTGAATATGAGAAGTTTGACCTGAGATATCTGCCAGTCCAGAAATGCAGTACATAACCTGTACCGCGAAAGAGATTATCAGTACCGGAAAGATACTCATTTTAAGAAATAAAAAGTTGGGTCTCGACAAGAAAAATTTGAGGAACTTAGAATCACTCAAATTAAGTATTCAACTTAAGTAGAATTAGTAGAATTAAAGTATTTTCTTTTGTTGGAAAGAAATAGAAAGTGAATAAAAAGTATTTTCTTTTAATTAGAAAGTAATAGGAAAAATTAATAAAGAATTAAATTGTTTCTTAAAAAGGCTTAAGAAGGAATTAGAAGCCAAAATGTGTTCTTCTTTCCTTGGAGTGGCCGAACCTAGAGAAAAAGAGAGAAACCAAAGAGAAATCAAGGAAATCAAGCGTTTTCGACAAAATTTCTTCCGTTCAGTCCAGTAGAAACAAAACCCGTGGCGTTCTAGCGAAAAATCTCAACTTATAGAGAATGAATAGTAACCAATCTCGGAAAACTTCTGTAAAGTAATAACCAAAACTGAGGTTTTGTAGAGCACCATGATAGGAGTCTAATGGCGTAGGAATTGAAACGATCAAACGAGATTTTGGTGGATTTTGACTAAAAATCCGTGAGCCCTAAATAAGAAGGAACTTGTGTTTTTGTTCAATTTTTGAGTTGAAATTTGTATTGAGACTTATGAATCTTAACTCCAAGAACTGAAATCGGAAGTTAGAACGAGCTATTGAAAGCTCGGGTAATGAGAAAAACTAGGCGAAACTCTGCCGAAATTTCCTAAACCTAGATAGTAAGTGTTAAGTTATGGTTTCAATTTTCAAGAATGAGTAATAGTTTTAAGATCCTAAAATGAGTAAATTGAGGTTTCAGAAATCGAAACACTCAAATTGTAGAATTTGCCTCTTAAGCTAGAAAATTCGGCTTAGAGGAAAAAAAGTTCAAAAATGAGTTTGAGATTGTATTTAGAAATTTAAGTCTGAGGAATTTTGATGTTGAGAATAGGAAGTTGATACCGATTTCCATGATACAAGTTTTGACACGAAAACCGAAGCAAGAAGGAGGAATTCTCAACAAGCGGGAATACTAGCAGATTATTTGTAAGTGTAGACATATATGTTTGTTTGTACTCGAGTAAACTGTAGGATAAACTTAGAATTACAAAATTGTTTATATTTCTAAGTATTGTGATATTGAGTGTTTGAGGACTTAGTGCCCTAGATTGCAGAAGGGCAACATACGGTTACCCTAATGCTCAGTTTAAGGTATGCATTAAGCATTATGCATCTCATGTTAAGCATGTGCACGTAGAGAAAGCGTTGCATAGCATTTAATAAAGTTTTAAAATACTTTGAAATGCAAATCTAAAGTTTGGTAAAGTTAAAAGACTGACGGGTCGTCGGCCTCCTAAGGGAGGAAATCTCAAAGAGTAAGAGATCCCGACTAGACCAGGCGGTTAAGCAGGGGCCCAGGCCCACATTAACAAGAACAGAAAGACAAGTAGTTATTAAAGCATTTTTGCAAAGGAAACATACATTCCTGCATTATGACACATTATACAGTCTTACTAGTTTCAAGATGTTTGCATGTCTATATTTGTTGGGCATACACTCATCAGTTTACTCGTGTTGCAGGTAAACAGCCAGCTATATAGTAGTTATGTTTGATGGACTGGCTGATGCAAGGTGGCAGATATGTCATAGGTTCACAGGAGTGGTGTCTACTTCGTCCGCGTAGGAAAAATTCCGCTGCAGAAATAATGTAACGTAGAACAAAAGTTTATGTATTAAGTATTAAGAAAGAGATGGTACGGCGTTAGTAAAGAGCATCGGACTGTAATAAGTTAAGTTTCGGGGATTATTTCCATATCCGAAGTTACAAAGTATTAGCTAGATGTAACATTAATATAACAAAAGAACATGCTAAGGAACATGTTGAGAACTCGGAGGTAAAAAGAAAAAAAATGCACCTATGTATGTACGTGGTACAACGAGGTGATAGTTAAGTAGCAAGTAAAAGCTAACATGAGGGCAAGAGTCGATATAAAAGCACTGCTACTGAATATTTACTTTCTTATTAAACAAAAACATATTACAGGCCTATATATAGATGTACACGGCTAATGAATTCAAAAATAAGTTACAAACTGACTTCCTAGTTTTAAGGCTGACTTTAAGGCTTCTTTGTTCAACGTAACTGAATTCCCAATACTCCCCCTCAACCTGAACTATACAGGTTGTACATTCCCAATCTATCTACTAATCTTTCAAATAATGGCCTATACAAACCCTTGGTTAGCAGATCAGCCGTTTGATTCGATGTTGGCACATATGTCATGCAAATCGTTCCATCTTCTATTTTCTCCTTGATGAAATGTCGATCTACTTCTACATGCTTGGTTCGATCGTGATGCACTGGATTGTGTGATATGTTGATGGCAGCTCTGTTATCGCAGAAGATCCTTAATGGTCTATCTATAGGCATTTTCAGTTCATCCATCAGTAACTTCAACCATAGAACTTCACAGACACCGTGCGCTACCGATCTCAGTTCTGCCTCTGCACTACTTCTTGCTACCACCGTCTGTTTTTTACTTCTCCAAGTCACCAAATTACCCCAAACAAACGAACAATATCCTGATGTGGACCTCCTATCATCTACTGAGCCAGCCCAATCAGCATCCGTAAATGCTTCAATTAACCGGTTATTTGTTTTCCTGAAAAACAATCCTCTTCCAAGGTTTCCTTTCAGATACTTGAGAATCCGATAGACAGCCTCCATGTGATCTTCCAATGGAGAGTGCATAAACTGACTCACACAACTCACTGCGAATGCTATATCTGGCCTCGTATGAGATAAATAAATTAACCTCCCCACCAGGCGTTGATAACGACCTTTGTCAACAAGACCTCGTCCCGAATTTAGCTTCAACTTAACACTCGGATCAATAGGAGTGTCCACTGGTTTGCTGCCTAGCATTCCTGTCTCCTTCAGTAGGTCCAGAACGTATTTCCTTTGTGAAACAGATATACAGTACGATTTCGAGCTACTTTCATTCCAAGAAAATATCTCAAACTTCCAAGATCCTTTATTTCAAATTTGGAAGCCAGTTTCTTTTTAATTCTTGCCATTTCTTCCAAATCGTCTCCAGTCAAAATCATATCATCTACATACACAATCAGAATAGTAATCTTACCCTCACGTTGCATGTAGAAGAGTGTATGGTCGGATTGAGCTTGCTTGTAACCATGTTGTAGGATTGCCTTAGTGAATCTCCCAAACCAAGCTCTCGGAGATTGTTTCAAGCCGTATAATGATTTCCTTAGACGACATACCTTGCCATTCCTTGTTTCATCATCAAATCCAGGAGGCAAGTCCATATACACTTCCTCTTCCAGATTCCCATTCAAAAACGCATTTTTTACATCCAATTGTTGGAGAGGCCAGTCAAGATTGGCTGCAAGTGAAAGAACAACTCTTACTGTATTAATTTTTGCCACCGGGGCAAATGTTTCCTGATAATCAATCCCGTATGTTTGCGTATATCCCTTGGCAACTAATCTTGCTTTGTAGCGCTCAATTGACCCGTCTGCCTTATACTTGACTGTGAACACCCATTTGCACCCAACAGGAGCCTTGTCTCTGGGTTTCTGAACCACTTCCCACGTTTGATTTTTCTCCAAAGCTTGCATTTCCTCCAAAATTGCCTTCTTCCAGGCAGGGTTCCTCCATGCTTCCTGTATTGTCTTCGGCAGCTCGATGGGTGCAAGATTGGAAACCAGGGCCTGAACTGAATTTGATAGGTGATTATAGCTCACAAAGTTAGAGATTGGGTGTTGTGTACACGATCACGTCCCCTTTCGAAGAGCTACAGGGACATCTAGTTCGGCCAAGTCTATTTCAACATCCGATTTTGGTCTAGAGGTTTGACTAGCCGCAGAAACCTCTGAAGTTTGAACTACTGGAGGCATAATTTTTTCCTCCTTTCTCGGATACTTCCGCTTGTAGGTCATTAATGGAATTGGTTGAATCATATCTCCCCCTACCGATTTCTTTTCCAGACTTGTAGGCGGCAGGTGTTCCAATTTTTTTGAATTTGAGACATCTAGATTAGAAGGTGGGATTGTTGGAGAAATATCTGGGGAAGAGGAGATCGGTGCAGAAGAAGTTTCCAGATTTGTCGGAGAGATATTTGAAGTGGACACAGATTTCGGAAGTTGATGAGGGGAAGATTCTGGGGGAGGTTCCGAATCATTTGAACCTGGCTGAGAGAATGGAGAGATTTGAGAAGTGGGTTCCGAATGATTTGGATTGGGCTGAAAAAGTGGAGAGATTTCAGGAGTGGGTACCGAATGATTTGGATTGGGTTGAATTAATGGTGTCATTAGAGGAGAGAGAGAGAGAGGGGAAGGCTTTGAATATTAATTTGAAATAGATGACCCCTGATTAGGTGGGATACAGTCCCAAAAATATTCCCAATTTTCAGAATTTTTATTGTGTAAGTCCGAAATATCTGGGGTGGAAAAATTCGAAAGAAATTGATGTTGCTCCCCTTGTGTGTTCTGTTTTGGAAAATATGGTTGATTTTCAAAGAAGGTAACATCTCTAGACACAAAATATTTTCGTTTTCCGGGAGAATAACATCTATAGCCCTTTTGTGTAGAAGAATAACCCAAAAATAGACACTCATGAGAACGGGGATCTAATTTACCTCTATTGGGATCATGATTATGGACAAAAGATGAACACCCAACTCAGGATAATATTCAAGCAATGTCTTATATTGTAAAACCCTACTTGGCATACGATTTATTAAATAACAAGCTGTGAGTACAGCATCTCCCCAAAAACACTTTGGTACATTAGAATTGAATAGTAAAGCACGAGCAACTTCTAACAAATGACGGTTTTTACGTTCTGAAATACCACTTTGTTGTGGTGTATTAACACATGAACTTTGATGAATGAGGCCTTTTTCAATGAGAAACTGATTTAAAATAGAATTAAAATATTATGTTCCATTATCAGTACGCAAAATTTTAATATGTTCATTGAATTGCGTTTTGATCATGGAATGGAAATTTTGAAATACTTGTTCTGCCTGAGATTTTTCTTTTAATAGGTACACCCAACAAACACGAGAATGATCATCAATAAACGTAATAAACCATCTTTTATTAAAAATGCTACGAACACGGGAAGGTCCCTAAATGTCACTATGAATGAGAGCAAAAGGTTTTGAAGCCCTATAAGGTTGGGGAGGTAGAAAGACACGTTTGTGTTTTGCAAGTTCACAAACATCACATTGAAAGGAATCTTTATTTCTAAACAACGAGGGAAACAAATGTTTCAAATATAAAAAACTTGGATGACCTAGCCGACAATGTAGGAGCATGATTTGTTGTTCTCGAGTAGGGGAGACATTATGATTGACCATATGACCCTTTACGGAAAGATCGTCCTCGAAGTAGTACAAACCAGAGAACTCTTTAGCATTGCCAATCCTCTTCCCCGAAATCCGATCCTGAAACATACAAGCAGAAGGTGTAAATGTAACTAGACAATCCAAATCGTTAGTTATCTTGCTTATTGAGAGAAGATTACAAGACAACTTGGGTACATGTAACACAGACTTCAAAATTATATTTGAATCAATTTTCACGGTACCAATACCAGCAACAATAGAAAAGGATCCATCTGCAATTTTCACTTTTTGATTACCGGGTGACGAAGAATAGGAGGAAAAAAAATTTTCACAACCAGTCATATGGTCAGAAGCACCAGAGTCTATTATCCATGGCTCACCTTGATCCTTTAGTCCACTCAATGCAGACAAATGATTACCTTTTTGAGCAACTAGTGACGTGCTTGGAATCACTGTGTTAGTCAACATCTTGCAGAGTTGTTCCATTTGTGCTTTGGATAGTGTAACAGAATTGTTGGACCCCTTTGATTCACCTTCATTTGAACTTTGGAATGCTTTTCCATCCTTTCCACGAGATTGCAGACTCCAATTGGCAGGTTTACCATGAAGTTTCCAACACTTTTCTTTAGTGTGGTATGGCTTCTGACAGTGATCACACCAGGCTGTATTTTTCTGTTTTGTACGTAAATCTGGGCCTCGAACAGCCAGGGCTGAATTCTCAATCGCAGGTGGAGGTGGTGGTGGGGCAGATTTGTGGAGCATAACTTTCTTTCGGCTTTCCTCCCGTCTTACTTCCGCGAAAATCTCTTCAATGGGTTGGAGAAGTTTCATCCCGAGTAGGCGACCACGAACCTCGTCCAAATCTCGGTTGAGTCCAGCCAAGAAATCATAAATCCTCTCCTTTGCTAGCATCTGTCCATAGAGAACCGCATCTGCTGGATCCTTCCATTCACAGACATGAAAGAGATCCAGTTCTTGCCACACTTTCTTGAGAGCATTGAAATATTGCGTCACATCCCGTTCACCTTGTGTCATAGTTCTAACAAGGTTCCGCAATTCATAAACTTGAGATGTATCTGCATAATCAGAATATGCTAGATGAACAGCATCCCAGATTTCCTTTGCTGTGGGATAAAACAAATAGGTGTCACCAATGGAATCCTCCATGGAATGAATTAACCAGGCCATTACCATGGAGTTTTGAATATCCCAAGTCTGATAGGTAGGATCATCAATACTCGGTCTGCTATTAGTCCCATCCAAATAGCCGATCTTCCCTTTACCACGAATGACCATTTGAATAGAGCGAGACCATTGAAGAAAATTTTTGCCATTCAATTTATGAGAAGTAATCTGTAGGGATGAGTGTTCATGATTTGCAGTGGGAACAATTGTAGAGGTTGGGTTAGAAGTTCCTGAAGCAACCTCAGACCCATCACCTCTGCTTGCTCCAGTCGCCACTTCGGCCATCGTCCCTCTCAACCTCACGTTAATTTTTTATTGCTCTGATACCATAAAAGCTAACATGAGCGCAAGAGTTGGAATAAAAGCCCTACTACTGAATATTTACTTTCTTATTAAACAGAAACATATTACAGGCCTATATATAGATGTCCACGGCTAATGAATTCAAAAATAAGTTACAAACTGACTTCCTAGTTTTAAGGCTGACTTTAAGGCTTCTTTGTTCAACGTAACTGAATTCCCAATAGCAAGTAATAGATTAGACAATATTTCGGCCTACTAGTAGTAGTACAAGGTTGGCGACCCGCCGCTAGGGCGGGAGGCGTCACAACTAAAGCTAAACCTTAAATGAGAATGACAATAAATGATAAATAGTTTCACTAACGTAGATAGTTCCAGTGAAGAAGCTTGGACTTGATTATAGGCAGAATAAGTTGCTCAAGAGGTGGAGTGTGCTGTTTTGATTTCTGGGTAAAAAAAAAGGTTCCCCAAGTTTGATCAACATAAGGTAATCGTCAGAAAGAGAGATACAGAGAGAGAGAGAGAGAGAGATGTTTGATGCTTGATATAATGTTAGGCGGTCGTCCATAGTACAGCCCAACAGACAACCTATTCCAATTATTTTCTTCCAAGAAATAGTAGTCTTCATTGCCAGCATAATGCTCTGTGCCACACAAATTCACGAGTGCTGTACAAGATGAGTCATTATCGACTAGTATTTGCATAATATACAGGACGGAAATTTCTGGGCGTGCAATTGACGACAATCTAAATCATCAAGACCAACAAGGTACATAACAACAACTAGCAACTGCCAGAAGCATATACAAAAGAAGCAAGATTTAGTAAAATCTTGATCAGATTGGAGGCTAGTAGTAGAAGTACAGATTTCTTTTTCTTCAATAACATATTTTCATCTCTTTCCTACAATTGTGGAATTGCTAATTTAATTAATTCAAGCCTCTACGAGAATTTGACTTTTGTTCTAGAGTCAAAAGTATGAATTTTTGCGAACAAGCCAAAAATATGATTCTCAATTGGCATGGAACTCGTTTCCAATAATCACATTCAAAGTGAGATAGGCCATAAAAACACAATAACTGATGACGCTGAACTATAGCCACTCAACATGGTGGTGGATTTCCCCTATAGCCACTCATCAGTTTCATTTCCATCTCCAATGCAATACAAACTTCTATGCCAATGCCAAAATTTGACATTGTTAAGAAAAACATTCTCCAATGCAGTACTTTGGTAAGTTAATTCAAATTTTGCACCAAGTATAGCATATGCCAACGTTTGCCTTTTGGTTGCTTAATTGATAATGAATTGACACTTTCACCTAATAACTACAAATATTGTCATTTCTCAATATTTTGAAAATTAGAAATTTTCCTTTATAAGTTTCAAAGCTTGAAATTTATAACAAAATGTAGGTATAGCATGTGAAATAACTTTATGCATTGGAACAAAGAATAGAACAACTCATCATATATCCTATTTTTATACCTTTATGAAGAATATAGCATTGGCATTGACATTTGCATAGGAGATGGTCTAAAGGGATTTAATGTCTAACCAATACATCTAAAACATCAAAAGTAAATATCAAAGTATCCTAATCACTAGTTCACATGTCCCAACATTGTAACTTGAGGAGTCGCCATAAATGAGTGCCTAACATCATTGTGGACACTGGACATGCATCCCCTTTAGAGTTTGGAAAGACCCTCGCAGACAAGTATACATCCTGATAGCCCCCCAACAATTTGAGGATCGATACTATTGAGGGCAAGGACAAAATATACTTATCGGTAAAACAAACTTGGGAATTTCATTACCGTGTTAAGAGCCCAATTAAAGCCATCTAGGAATCATTCTAATAAATAAGAACTTAGTTATTGTCACTCTAATATGGTATAGTGATTATCATTCTAAGAAGGAAGAACTTAGTTACTAATTGTTTCCGAGCTGAACGAGGAGCAGTTTCCCAACAATACAAGCAACGCCAAAGTTTTACATGAGTATATTTCAATCAATTGAATTTCCACACACAAAATTTGCAATAAAGTCAAATACATCCTAATCCCTATTCTACATAAACAGACAAGAAAATTTGAGGATTTAACAAGCTCTGCGAATAATTTCCACTCAATAGTTTCAAAACAAAAGAACTCCAATTCCAAAAAAACTGTACCTGATGAAAGTCGCCGGAGCCGGAACCGGCAGAACTGCCGGAGGTGTTGCTGACGCGGACGGGGACGTTCTCGAGGATTCGCCGGAGCTTAATTTCGAGATCCTCTTCCTGTAGCACCGGCGGGGTATACTCCACAAGCGCCGTCGACCCGGTCGTCGCCGGCGCCTTCGGTGGAAGCGCGAGACTTCTCTTCTCCGGCACCGGCGCCGCCACCATCTGCAAGTCCTTGTCTTTGGGCTTGCCCGTCGACATTTGGTCTTCGAAACCCTAACTAACTTCTTTGTTCAATTTTTCTTGTCTCTTCTGGCCCCAATAATAATTGTCTAGAAATTCTGTAATTAGTTGAGAAGATTAGAATTATAGACCCCGTTTTGTCGTTGATTTAAATTTTTAATTTAAATTAAAATGTAATTTTATATAAAAATTTTTACTATAATAAAAAAATTAAATATAACTATATTTTAGAATTTTTAATTATAATCAGTGTTGAAATTTTAGATGGGCCGTCCGCGATTACTGAAAAATCTGAATTTTTACTTAATGACCGAGCCCGAACTACCTGAATTTTTGGGCTGCTCAACCCGACCTGATTTTCTCCTTAGACGGGCATCGAGCAACATTTGGCTGCCCTTGCCCGATGGGGCTGCCCAAACCCGACTGAAAATGCTTGAATTTTTAAATATTTTTTATATTATATATTTATATATTATTATAGATATATATATCTATATATTACAATTTGAAATTTAAAATGAACACACGAACTATATAAAAAAATTATTTTTTTATTAATTTTTAAATTTGTAATTTATGATTGTCTCGTTAAAAACCTTACCAAGAAAAACTCAATTGGGATAAAAACTTTGTAAAGAAAAAAGAGTGCAATTATTATAGGAGGAATTACAAATTTGACGAACTTATAAAGTCTATACAAGATTACAATAACATTATATAAATTAAATAAATATTTACAAATTACAATAATAAAATTTAATTTGAAGCAGAATGATCGTCTTGAAAATCCAAAAGTTAATCTATTAAATTCGTCGATCCATTCTTAGCTTGCCGGTGAGATTATATCGTGTAAGCATTGGTCGGAACGATCTTAAACCTTGATGCATCATATAAGTGGAGTTCCATCTTATGGGCATATCTAAGACTAATGCTCTAGGATTTGATTACATGATTGTAGAAATCTAAACCAATATTGTATTTTTTGATTACTACCTTGAATCCAAGCAATATTATCTCTAATTCTTTTAATATGACCTGACATTAATTTTAAACCGGATTTTATTATTAAATTAATTATATGACATGTACAACGTTGGTGAAATATATCATTATTATCGAATAAACTTAAATAATTTTCAAAAAGTTTTATTGCTTTAGTATTTGCAGTTGCATTATCTAATATTATAACCATTACTCTATCCCTTAAACTATATTCATCAATGATAGATAAAATTGTGTTATATATTAAATTTGCAGTATGTGATCCTATAACATATTTGAAACTTAATATTCTCTTATCTAAATCAAAACCTTTATAATAATGTCCGGTTACAATTAAATAATCTTTGTTGGCAACAGCGGATTAAATATCTGCCGTTAACGCAACGCAACCACTAGTAGAGTGTAAAATGTTGATTAATGCTTAATTTTCTTGTTTATATAATTTTAATGCATCTTTCCTAAGAGTAGTTTTTGAAAAAAATTGTGCATTAGGATTATGTACAATTTTAATATAACGCTGTCAATTCCTTTGTTCAGTAAAACTAAGTGGTTGATCTAATGCGGCTACTAAGCGTGTCATTTCTATACGATCAACTTGTGGATCGTATTTCCAAGTGGTTAGACCGCTGGTTTGGCAATTAAATGATAATTGTGTTTGGCGAAAATCGGGTCCGCCTCCTTGCTTTTGAAGACACTTTTCAGAGTGTCTTCTCAAGTGTGTAGTGTCATGAATAGTGTTACCTTGTAATTTATCACCACAATATTTGCTTTGAGCTATGTATTTAATGTTACCGTTATGTCGACCTCCTCAAATGTGTTGAAATGGTCCCAAACTGCTGAGGTGCACTTGCATTTCTTCTTCGAACTTGCAACACTTGCACTAGCACTTCCGCTTGCCTCTCCTCCACGCCCACCACCATTACGTCCACAACCACTAGTACGTCCACCAAGGCTCGGATTTGCAGTTTCCTCAGCAACTCTTTCTGTAGTTTGTGATTCCTGCGCTTGAAAAACATTAAGAAATTGCCCTTCTTCGATGTTGCATTGGGCATCAATGGGAATATCACCACCATAACCGAAAGAAGCCATTATGAAAAATAAGAGAGATTGAGAGCACTTTGAGAGAGATTAAGAGAGATTGAGAGAGATTTAAGCGAGATTAAGAGAGATTTGAGAGAGATTAAGAGAGATTTAAGAGAGATTGAGAGAAATTAAGAGAGAATAAGAGTTTTTGGGTGAGGAAAATGGTTGGGGGAGGAGGGTATTTATAGGAAATTTTTTGGCTTGAAAAAAAAAATTTTTCCCCTAAAAATTTGGTTCCAACGGCTATGTGAAATTCGGGCTTTCGGTCAGGTTCAGGCAAAAATCGGGCAACGGTCTTAAAAATAGCCATTGGGGTTTGAAAATTCAGGCGGCGTTCGGGTCGGGCAAAAAGAGCCGTTAGGGTTCAAAATTCGGGCAGATATTTAGGCTAACGGTCAAAAAAATTCGGGCATATCGGGCAACGGGCAAAATCGGGCTAACGGTCACAAAAATTCAGGCAAATTCGGGCAGCTAGCGGGCGGCGAGGTCGACTCCTCCACCGGTGGCGGGCAGTCGAAATGGATTTTTTTCGGGCTGCGTGAGCCCGTGCCCGGCCAAAAAGGTCAGACGGGCGGCGAATGGCGCCTGCCCGCCGTGCCCAAAAATTTTCGGGCATTGGGCATGCCCGCCGCCCGAAAGTTCAGCACTAATTGTAATAAAACTCAAATTTTAAATTCAAATCGGTAAAATGAATTAGGCTATAAACTCTGAGGAACTGAAGGGTCTGGTTTGAAGGGAATGAATTTAGCACCAGCGAGAGACATTCCAAAAGCAGGTTTTTCTCTGCCGCACTCCTCCTTTCATTGGCTTTAATTTATCTGTGAGTTAAATTCATCGAAAGTCTCTTGATTCTAATTTTGATTTTAGAATTATGATTTATGATTTTAGGTCTAAATTGTGGTTCTGAAACTAAAATCAGAATCAGAGGTTTAAATCACCTAAAATCAAAAGGAGTGGTTTTAGAAACATGGGTGATTCTGGTTTAAAACATCACATCAGGATTCAAACTTTGAATCAAAATCATCTAAACTAAACACTGCTCTGGGTGAGTCAAATCAGAACCACTTTTCTTTTTTGTAAACAAACACTGGTTTGAACCAGAATCATGGTTATAGAATCTAGAACACTTATACCAAACATGCTCTAAACTTTTTTACTCTTTTTTTTTCTTTTTACAATTAGTCTATGTACTCAAGAGTATACTAACTTAGGTGACGGTTGGTAACTAGGTTCAGAACTATGATTAATGATTTCGATTTTGAAATTTAAATTTTTTGTGAAAGAAAACACTATAGGAGAACCACGAACCATAATCCTAAACTAGACAGAACCCTTAAAACAAACGTCACCTTACACTTTAAAATCTTTGAATGTTTCAAATTTAATCCCTCAATTAAATATTGGGTTAAATTTTAAATGAAAAAAGTTAACATATTAATAGTTAAGTTGTAATAAATGAGTAAATTCACTTCCCCACCATTTATTGCAAAAAAGTACATTAAAAATACAATTCATTTCAAAAAATTAAAAAAAAATCTAAACAACCTGTCCAATTATATCTCAATACATTTTCAATTCCCATCCTTAAAATCTTCTCTCTTTTAGGTGACGTTTGGTTCATGGGTTCAAAACCATAGTTCATAATTCTGATTTTTGAAATTTAAATTTTTTGGTTGAGAAAAACACTATAGTAGAACCAAGAATCACAATCTTAAACCAGACATAACCCTTGAAACAAACGTCACTTTAATGTTTTATGAATAGGACAAGCCCTAGCCGTCAGAGTTCTAGAGAGATAAAGTTATAGAGAGACACTCTGCAATAAGCTTAGATGATGGGTTCTCTCAAGTCGGTGGCTCGAATATTCGTCGATTGTCGGCCTCCAAAGTTCATCAGAGAGATCGCAGAGGTTACCGGCATCAGGTTCGTGCCGACGGAAGTGTGGATAGTCACCAAAATAGAGTTGTTCAAAGGGAAGTAGTTTCTGGTCTTCTATCTTAAATCTAGGACGCGTTCGCCTTGGGATTCTGTTGAAACTCTAGGAACTAGATCGTGGAAGGGAGACGATGAAGGTGGTCCAGCACATGTGGTAGTCCCCACTCGTTGGCAGTGGCACGTGGGACCCACGCGCCGTCGTGCTTTCGGTGTTTTTGGAGCTGTTCTCCGACGCCACTCCTACCGTGTTTCACACACCTCCGGCGTTGAGGAGCTTGATTTTGTTAGTTTGATTTCTCGGAATCTTTATAGAGTTTTTTTTTTTGTTTCTTTGTTTTATGTTTTTATTTGTGTTGTAATAATGGTGATGGTGTCCCTATCTACCAGCGTTAAGTCTTGGCTAGAGGGTGGTCTCCTCACCGCTCTAAATCTTATTTATGTAGTCCATTTTAGGACTGAGATGTGGTTCATCTGGAGTCATTTGAAGTGGTTGAACCCTATCATAGTGCCACTAGTTTGAGGAGTTCTCTCTGTTATTGGGTAAGAAGTGCGTTTGTATTATTTAGTCATGTGAGTAGCACCCGATTTTTAACTCTGGTTTTATCCTGTATTTTAACTCTTTAATGACTTTTTGTTAAAGTTATGCTATTGTCTTAAAAAAAATAAAAAAAATAAAAAAAAAACTTCTCTCTTTTGTGCTTATTCCCTTGTTTGTTGTAGGAAAGTAAGAACGTGATCTGATTTTCTCAAATAACACACATTAACATATTCAAAAAATTTACCATGTATGTATAAACATAAAATATCTTTATACATTTATTATGTATACATATTGTAAATATATATAGATATAATTCATATAAGTTAAAATTGAATATATTGGTGGAAAAGTTAAGATTTTTTTTCCATGAAACATTTTTTTTTAAATAAAACCATGATTATGGACAGGTTATTTAATTTTTTTCATTATTGATGAATTCAGATGTGTGAACTTTTTATGAATTGCTTGGGCTTTTAATGTACCCTTTTCTAAGAAATGGTGAGAAA